TAAAGCAAACCTGCCTGGAACAAAGCTGACAGCTGATTTCTCGTGGCAATAAATAATGAAGAGGAACATAAAGTTATCACTATGTAGATCAGAATCAATTTTATAAAAACCACATCCATCTGGTATCATCTTCATTTTGATCATTTCAGTAACTCAGATATCTCAGTAATTGTGTCTTTTGGTCACTATATTGAAGATTTATTAAGTATTTATAGCCTTCTAGTAAAATATCTGTAATGTGGTTTGCTCATATAAAAGCAAAAGGAAGGGAAGATATAAAATAAGTGAAAACCTTGAAACTTCCCATGAGATTTAATTTGGCTGCAGAGATGAATGCTCCTGCAAAAATGAAAAATATCATTTCCTTTTTAATACGGGCTCATAGTAAAAAAATGACAATACAGGTTATCTTAGCTTTTAAATCTAAGAAATTCTAATTGGGGTTTTTGTATATTTTAATGTATAAAGTAACCCCCCTAATTATATATTTTAATGTATAAAGTATAAACCCCCCTAATTGGTTTTTTTTAAATGTTGTTTCTAAACCAAACATTTGCACTAAAGAAATTCAAATGTTCACCTAAAATATGCCAAAATGCAACAATCATGGGGTATTTATTTGTGGCTTGCTTTCATCCTATATAGTTTTTTCATGTGTCTTGGTACAGTTTCATCTACAGGCTCTGTGCCTCTGCAGAGCTCACATTTGAAAATGGAAGGTTTTGCTGAAAATTCTGTGCCCTGTATGCCAGTTTCTTCAACCTGCTTCTCCCTGAACTCCAGATGTGATAGAATATAGCTTGGAATAGGAATTGTAATCCAACACCACTGGAGGAAATCAGGATGGAGAAGAACACTTTATGCTAACAGAGAAACCCATGTTGTCTTGCTCTGTTCACTTTTACCTGCCATCACAATATAGCCTTGCATCCAGGGTAACTGTTATAAAACCCAATTATAATGTGGAGGAAGGGCTTTGATCACCCAGTTGTTGTATAACCTCAAAGTATTGTTTTAAGGTGGCCAATAAAAGGTTTGTCAATAGAGGTACTTCACTGACTGAGCTATGAATTATGAGATGGCAAATAGGTGTATCCATAAGAAAGGCTGAGCGCCAAAGAATTGAGGCCTTTGAACTATGGTGCTGGAGAAGACTCCTGCGAGTCCCCTGGACTGCAGGACGATCAAACCAGTCAGTCCCAGAGGAGATCAACCCTGACTGCTCTTTAGAAGGCCAGATCCTGAAGTTGAAACTCAAGTACTTTGGCCACCTAACGAGAAGGAAGGACTCACTGGAGAAGAGCCTAATGCTGGGAAAGACTGAGGGCAATAGAAGAAGGGGACGACAGAGAATGAGGTGGCTGGATGGAGTCTCTGAAGCAGTAGGCATGAGCTTAAATGAACTCCAGAAGATGGTAGAGGACAGGAAGGTCTGGAGGAACGTTGTCCATAGGGTCGTGATGGGTCGGGCATGATTTCGCAACTAACAACAACAAAATAGGTGTATGCCAGTGGTTCTCAACCTTTTTAATGCCGCGACCCCCAACCGGTCGTAAGTCGAGGACTAAACCGGTCGTAAGTCAAGGACTAAACAGGTCGTAAGTCGAGGACTAAACTGGTCGTAAGTCGAGGATTACCCAACCGGTCGTAAGTCGAGGACTATCCCTGCCCGGGAGCGCCGCACATGCGTGGTTCCGCCCCCTGCGCCGGCGTAGCTGGCAAGCGGCAGAGACGGAGCAGGCCGACCACCAGCTGGCCCAGCTCAAGGGAGGTAAGGCACCCGCCGGAAAAGGGGGAAAAATGGCGGACAGCCTTGCTTGGCGACCCCCGTGAAATGGTCGATCTACCCCAAATGGGGTCGCGACCCATAGGTTAAGAACCGCTGGTGTATGCAAATTGGGATTTGATGTAAAATTTGTTTTCTTTAAAACCATTTTCCTCTTGTCTGTCTTTTAGGCCCTATGTGAATGTGCTCTTCAAACTCCTTATGACAGCTTGAAACTAGGCATGCTATCTGTGCTTTCTACCCTGTCAGATACAATAGCCATCAAACAGTACTTCAGCATTGCTCCAGGTATGAATAAATTACATCAGCCTAATTCTGGGGTACTTTTCTTATTTATGTGTTTATTTATGGCATTAACATAAAAAATACTGCTAGTGAGTAGTCCTTTTTCTTGAGAAGTGTTGAAACTGTCCAGTTTATTTTAATCATGCTGGAGTGTTTCAACCATGGTTGTGACTGGAATTTTCAACTGAGTTTCTGGTTCACTGTTTCTTATTAGAAATTGCCACAATCAACAAAGTTTATGGGTGTACTGAAATGTCTTCTTTGGACAAATCAATTTCCTTGCATTTCTTGTATCTAATCAGACAGAATTTCACCAATCCCACATTCTTTACAAGCTGTTCCCCATAGGTGGTTTATGAGAACAAACAAACAGAATCAATATCCTCCCCATTGCCAGACTTAGAATAAAACTTCCACATATTCCCATCACTTATACATAAGTAAACCAAATCCATATTTTAATATTTCTCCAGTTATATTGCCCATACTTGCTCTATTAGCATTTTCCTACATTCTCAAAACATGGTTTTCTTTTTATCTGTTTTTTTTCTTGAACATTAATAGTTATAGTATTATTTTCATTCTTCAAGGTTCAGTATGGTCCCCAAACAAATCTTTGAAATACTTTTTCCAGCTCCATTTCCCCAATTCAGCCTCATGTCATTAATCTAGAGTAGGTTACCAGCCTTAGTTGTACCCATTTCATATGCATTTGCTGCTAATACTCAGAAGTGTACCTGCCAATTTTGTCAGATTTTGAGTGGTATGCTCAAATGCAAGCAATGTCCACGTTTTGTCCAAGTAACTTCATGCTGTCCCAATCAAGCTAGGACTTTTAATCTAGAGATTATCTTGCAAGTCACCATATTGTTATCTACTTTCCACCACTTAGGTTAGATTCAATATACTGACACACACAGGATGTGCATGTATCTGTATATTCTTATATATATATAAGAATATATGTACAGCTATTGCATGACAGTAATGTTCAAATATATCAGTGTGCAGAGTTCAAAGCTTAGATAGTTGAGATATAGGATATGTCCAGAAAACGTGATGATGAGTGACCAAGATATTGAAATAACTGTATTTCAATAATACAGTTACAGGTAGTCCTCGAATTACGAGTGTAATGGAACCTGTACATTCCACTCATAACTCGAAAACTTGTAGAGTGAATCTCGTACCTCGAACGAGATCACTCCCTTTCTCATTAAGTACACATGAGGTATCTCGGGGGCGGGAAGGCTGGGGGGGACTAGTGATGGAACAGGCCCCCAAAGCCTCCCCGACCCACTAAGAAATCTCATGCTTCCCCCTCCCTTCCTGTTGCGTCGGACTCACTTACCTTGCAAAATCTGTCTCCTCTCTGCCACGGTTTCTTTCCCTTTGAGGGAGAGGGGAGTCGGCTTGGAAATGCTTTTTGCGTCGACAGTGGAAGCTCCTGGGTGCCATAATATCGCGCAAGTTCAAACAAAAATGCTCTGCAAAAGAGATCATGGCCCCTGGAAGCTTCCATTCTAAGGGGAGGGGAAGTGTTTGCTTCGTTTGCATGTCTATGGGGCAAAGCGGGGAATTGGAGTCAGCCGGGCGCAGGACCAATGCCGTCCGAAGCCCGGGTGTGCTGCTCGCTTACGTGCTCCAGTCTTGGTTTGAGGGCACTAAGTCTTCAACTGAGTGAGGAGGCATTGTGGGGTAAATCCCCTTGGACCTGCATCCAAGCTGCTGGCGGTGGCTGCGGCAGCAACAACCACCTGAGTGGCTACGATCTCCCCTCTTCAGCCACCCACCTTGCCCGACCTACTCCTTGCCTGACCGGCCGGTGGCACAAATCTTGGCCGCTCTTCTGCTTATGCTCCTCCCCACGCCAGCAGTGGTGGCAGCTTCAGTTTCTCCGCTCCGTCCAAAACGACGAAAGCGGAGGCACAGAGCAGAATTGCTCTCAAGAAAACACTGGTGTGCTGCTCGCTTGGGTGCGCCGGTCTTGAGAGCAATTTCCGCTCTGCGCTTCCACTTGTTTCCACTTGGACAGAGCAGAGAAACTCAAGCCACTGCCGTTCAAACACTTCTTATCCAAACGCAGACCTGAGAGACATTGGAAGGTCCATGTTCCTGCCAGTGGGGTGCTTCAGAAACAGAAAGGAACGCTCCGTATGACTGAGGTCTCCGTTTGGATAAAAAATGTTTGAGTGCCTATGGGGCTATTCAAAACGCAGGGATTCGCTGCGTTTTGAAGCTCCATGTGACGGTCCTTTCCGTTTCTGAAGCGCCCCACTGGCAGGCCTTTTCTCAAGCCCTTTCCTGGTGAAAACAAGCCTCCGGAGCGAGCACGCCCCACTCTTTCGCTCCATTTTCGCCAAGAGAGGAGACAGACTTTGCAAGGTAAGTGAGTCCAGCACGGCAGGAAGGGAGGGGGAAGCAGTTGTGAGGAAGGGGGGAATAGGATGAATGTTGCAGAGCCTCTGCGGTCGCTCGTAAGGGCGAACGACTGCCGTGATGGTGCAATATTCGTAATTTTGGGATTTGCTCGTAAACACTAGGGGGTGCTGGTCACGTAACTTCAAACAAACGTTAAGTGAATGCTCCTAACTCAGGGATTATCTGTATTATTGTTGTCAATTAAATTTATCTTGAAGGAAAAGGTTTACTCATTCTGGATCTTCCCTCAAAATCCTCTATACAAATTGCCTGCAGCCTTTTGAAAATCCTCTCACAGTTTTTTTTCTCATTCACTCCCTGCAAAATTGTGATTCATGCTGCTCTCATTTCTCTGTTGACAAGAGACTCTTTTATAGTTTGGATGTTTTCATCTACTCATCCCTAGAGAATTGCCAATACTATTAACACAACTAACATCTTGGTTTTCCCTTTCCTTTGAAAACTGCAGAAAAAAGCTTGTTTCATGTAATAAATGTTACCATGCTGCTTAAAGATGACCCTTTCTTACCTAGGAACAAAATCTACTACAGCAAGGTCATCTGATCTGGTCAAGCTTGCGCAGGAGAGCTGTTATCATAATAATCAGAATATTGCAGCACATGGAGTACGTGTTCTGACAAATATAGCTGCTTCTTGTCAAGAAAAAGGTAATTCCAAAAGGTGTGGAAGGAGCAGTGTTTGCAGAACAGTTTATGACGATTAGCATAGCATATCATGTTCTCATCTGAGAATGCAGTATAAATGTTCCTAAGTTCCACTGTTTTCTATTGCTGCTTCTTTCTATTGCTAATGCTGCTTTCCAGTTCCTAACTAAATCTTATAGCCTTTTTCATAATGCCATTTTGGCTGGATGCCAAGCAATAAAACACTTACAGACTAAATTGTTTGTGTTTTGGTAGAAACATATGCCAGTAAGTCTGGTAAGATTAGAATATATTTGTTTTTGGACTGATTTTGGCTGTGTTCTGTTGCTGTGATAAGAGCTCTATACTCCAGGGCAAAACTTTAATATAAATAATTGTAAATGTAATTTTCCACAATCCTGTGTATAATAGTGACTTGAGTGATTAGTATCTAAAGAGTAAAGCATTATAATCTAATCTAGAGAAAAGAAGGATTAAGGGTGACATGATAGTAGTATTTCAGTATTTGAGGGGTCATCACAATGAAGAGAGGGTCAACTTATTTTCCAAAGCACCAGAAGGCAAGACAAGAAACAATGGATAGAAACTAATCAAGGAGAGAAGCAACCTGGAATTAAGGAGAAACTTCCTAACAGTGAGGACAATTAATCAGTGGAACAACTTGCCTCCAGAAGTTGTAGGTGCTTCATCACTGGAGGTTTTTAAGAAAAGACTGGACAGCCACCTGTCTGAAATGGTATAGGGTCTCCTGCTTGAGCAGGGGGTTGGACTAGAAGACTTCTAAGGTTCCTTCCAGCTCTATTCTGATTGATTGAAGATAATTTATCTCTCCCGTAGAACTTTTGCCATTGGAGCAAGATGCAGTCTTTGGCCTTGAATCTCTTCTTGTTCTTTGTAGCCAAGAACCAACTTCATCTCCCGAAGCAACTTTAAAGGTAAATTGTAAGGTTTTTTTCATCTTGTCTCTCATACAAATTGATGTAAGAGATTTTCCTGTATATTTGTTTAATTATTATTATCTGTTACTTTAATTGTTATTTGTTATTTTAGATGTCTTTGTGATTTGTTACTGCAATAGTTGGTATTTGGGGCTGTCCTGGATTACACAAAAGGTGCAGTTAGTGAACAAGGAATGACATTATTGTTTGGAACAAAATTTAGTAATTGCATTTATTCCCAGGATGCTTCCAGATTTAAAAAAAAAAATCAGTTAATGCTTTTTGAGCCCTTTATATTAGAATGTGCTCTTTCTATTATACAGACTGACCCAGTCATCGGGATCTTCAAAGGAAATTCTTTTTCAGGTCTTGTTAATGGGAATAGCATGTTTTGCAGAGCACAAGAGAGAACCTTGTTAGTGATATTGCTCTGGTTGGTGCCAATATTGATTTTATTTTGATGCCAAAGAAGTGTTCTGGCTCTTCTTCCAAATTTTGGAATCATGTAGTTTGACATCAGTATACATTCTGTTTATACTGAACTGCAGAATCCGTCGTTCTGAAATTGTTGTGTTTTTATTGTGTTATTACCCTTTCTGGTTTGTTTTTCTCATTGTACCTACTCAAATTATAAGTATGCTAATACGTGTAAAATCAACGTAAGAAGTTAAGTTTTGAATATAGAGCCTGGAAAGGGCTCAGAGAGAATTTGACTGATGAATTGTCTATGTGTTCTATGTAAAGGAGAAAGTCANCCCCTCCCCCCCCCGGACTTCCCAGAACTGAGTACAGGGATAAATACATAACATCCCAAGTCTAAATTAAGCTATCCATTCATAATACAATATAGCTTTTGAATAAATATTTTTCTTTTCTAATATTTTTTATATATTTAATATAATTTATATATATATATATATATATATATATATATATATATATATATATATATATATATATATATATATATATATATATATATATATATATATATATATATATATATATAAAATATTCAAGTTTATTATTGTATGTTAGAGTTAAAGTATGTTAATTTTGTTTGTATTATGAATGGATAGCCTACCTACTATTAATATCTATAGAGACATCTATTATACCGACTATTAAATGTGGAGTCTTCTAATTGCCTTTTGACTAGCCAGAGAGGGGAAAATGGGAAATAGCAATTTATAACTATCAGCATAACACTGAACTTTGGTTTAAAATTAGATCCAAATTGATACATTGATGCTCAGGTATGTAGGAATTAGTAAGCAATTTGCTTCAGATTATTTTGTGTTATAAAAACTGTGATGTACAGGCAGTCCTCAACTTAAAACCAATCATTTAGTGACCGTTCGAAATTACAAAATGCACTGAAAAAAGTGACTTATAATCATTTTTCACACTTACAACCATTGCAGCATCCCCATGGTCACATGATCAAAATTCGGATGCTTGGCAGCTAAATTCATATTTATGACGGTTGCAGTGTCCCAGGGTCATGTGATCACATTTTGCGAACTTCTGACAAGCAAAGTCAATGGGGGGGGGGGAAGCTAGATTCACTTAACAACTATGTTACCAACTTGACAGCTTCAGTGATTCACTTAACAATTGTGAAAAGAAAGCTCCTAAAATGGGGCAAAACTCACTTAACAAAAGTTTTGCTTAGCAGCATAAATTTGGGGCTCAATCGTAGTCATAAGTTGAGGAATACCTGTACTAGATGGTACCTTTTAAGAAAAACACCTAGAGCAGGGGTAGTCAACCTTGGCTCTTTTATGACTCGTGGACTTCAACTCCCAGAATTCCTGAGCCAGCTAAGCTGGCTCAGGAATTCTGGGAGTTGAAGTCCACGAGTCATAAAAGAGCCAAGGTTGACTACCCCTGAACTAGAGTATCATGAAAGCTGAAAAAGTGCCATTTTGTTTTCGTGCAGATCATACTCACTTGTATGGTGAAGCTGGCGAAGAGTCGCCCCCATCTGAGCCAATCCATCGTGGAGTCCTTGTTGACACAACTACCGCGTGCTCAGGAGGCTGCTAGAATTCTCATATGCCATTGTTTGGCAGCCATTGCGATGCAGTTACCCGTCTTAGGAGATGGAATGCTGGGAGACCTAATGAATCTCTATAAAGTGATTGGATGTTCTACTTCCAATAAGCAGCAAGAGCTTTTGGTAAGAAACTCTTGATTCAGAATGATTCTTCTAGGTAACAGATGAATCTGTTTGGATTCAGACTGAATAAACATTTAATGAACATTCAGCAGAACTAGTTGCTAGCTGACAATGTATGTAACACTTAAATCCCAGAATTCCCCAGCCGGAGTTGAAGTCCACATGCCTTAAAGTTGCCAAGATTGGACATCCCTGACTTAAATTGTTGTATTTATAAATAGAGTGAAAAGCATGACACCTTTATAAAATTGACGTCTTTGACCACCTCTTTTCTATGACTACGTTGTTTTTAATTCTCCAGCTCTCCTAGGAGAAAATGGACATGTTTGCTGATAAAACCCCCTAGAGATGCCGCTAAGATTAGCCAATTACTTCAAAAGGACAAATTATTTCTAAACCTGATAGGCTTGAGGAATCTAGTGCTTTTCAAATACAACTTCCAGAAGGTCTATTCAGGGAAACTGAAGGATACAAGGAGTTTTACCTTAGGACTATCTGGAGAGTTATCAATCCTTACCAATTGAGTTGAGGGACCAACAGCAAAGAATTGCACTGACCAGCTAGCTAGTTTTGTGTTGAACTTTCCAAAAATTATTCCACTTGGTCAGTAAACAAAACATTACAGAGTATTTAATGAAAGATATCACTGGATGTTTTGAAATTCCATAAAGTAAGTAAGATGCCTAAAAAACAATATTATTTGCATAGTGACTACAGACTGGAGATTTTATAAGGAAAGCAAACCAAATCAATCTAAGCCAAAAGGCCCTGCTTGAAGAGGCCCATAATTTTAAAAAAATACAGCATAGAAAAAAAGAGAATAATGGGGGAAGGAGCAATGAATTGGGAGAAGGAACATTACAAGGCAAAGGCTGCCTATAGCTCCTGAGTCTTCTTTTTGGTCTAATTCCTTTGACAGTAATTAGTGAAAACTGAAAGCATATTTTCCTTCATTTTAGAGGTGGGAAACAGCTGAAAACTATAATACAATCCCTAGAAATAAATCACCATTGGAAAACAGCTGAGATGTACACATACCCCAGCCCTGCCAACATATGTCCATTGGAGTTAAGCAGCTAATAAATTCAAATGAATAAATGAATATGTGAAATAACCCCATCCATTTTGCAGTATTCTATCCTCCCCACATATCGAGTAGCCTCAGTCTTTGGAACATTGCCTGTACCTGCAGTAGAGAGCAAAATGAAGCCCAAGAAGAGATAAACAGTGTAAAAAAAATCAGTCTGAGAAAGTGTAAGAGAAGAAAAATAATCTTGAGGATGTATTTGCAAATGAGAAAAGAAACAGTGTAATCAGAAAGATGGTTAAAATAAAACAATATGCAATGCATTTTAAAATGAAGGTAGCAAAGCAGTACCCATGTAGAAAATAAGAGTTAAGTGAACTTTCTCATTGAGCCAACATTGGAAATATAAAAGCCCATTTCAATATAACTTTTTGTTTAAAAAAAGCAGCAGTATGACTGTTCCCAATTATTGTTCTGCCCAGTAGATGGCATTTATTTTACATGGTTGGCCTGGTTGGCCTTAGCAAATGCAGTGGAAAATGTGAGAACTTCACACTGTTGCTGACTCTCTTCTTAACATGCTGTGGAACCTGGCTTAAAAATATACAGATATTTGTTAACAAGTTCCTTTATAACTGATTTTCTTCCTTGAGTCCTGTATTCTTTGGAAACTTTTACCTTAGTGCTTAAAAATGAACGATCATAAATTTAATGTGCAGTGTGTGGAAAATGAACATAGGTTGCTGGATGAATGAATAACAACTGCTAAATATGTTACATTACAAGTAGCCCTTGGCTTATGAACATTTGTTTAATAGTAGTTCAAAGTTACAATGGCCTTGGAAAAAGTGACTTAAAATCTGTGATTGCACTTATGACCATCACACAACCGTTGTGATCACATGATTGTAATTTGAGTGCTTGGCAACCGGCTTGCATTTACAACCAATTGTGTGTCCTGTAGTCACATGATTGTGATGGGCAATCTTTTTATGAATTTCCGTCAAAAAACTTCCATGGGGAAGTGTTTTGTTAAGCAAACCACCATTGTTAACAACCACCATAAAACACCTCATAAAACCGAGTCCAACTCAATATATGGTCATGGTGACCACAAATTCTGGTCCCAACTATGGTTGGAAGTCAAGGACTACCTGTATATACAAAGCAGAAGGGTGCCCATTTCGAACAGTCAGTCCTATCCTGAGATCACAAGAGATTTTTTTAGTTAAAAAGTTGCCCTAATGTTTGACAGCTGCAAAGCAAGGAAGTTTTATTCGATCATTATGGGAAAATAGTCCTATATCATTATAAGGAATGATTAGAATCATTATGGAAAATGCTAATGTGTTTCTCAGTGTGACAATTCTATTCAGATTTGGATTTGATCACACTTTGAAAATTATATAGGGCATTGTATTTCTAGAATGCAGAATGACAGACCTTGTACCATTCCAGACAAATGGCTGTCCAATCTCTTTGTAAAATCCTCCAGTGTGAGGGAAAACCTCACAACTTCTGGAGGCAAGCCATTCCGGTGATTGTTTTTACTGACAGGATATTTCTCCTTAATTCTAGGCTGGATCTCTCTTTGTTAAGTTTCCATCCATTCCTTCTTGTCTTGCCCCTCTGGTGCTTTGGAGAATAGGTTGACTCCCTCCTCTTCGTGACAGTCCTTCAAATATTGGAAGACTGCTATCATGTCATCCTTAGTCCTTCACTTTGTTAGAGTAGACATTCCCAGTACTTCAAAAACTATACATTAGACTAGAAAATCAGTGTAGATAAGAACAACCAAAATGATCAAGGGCATGAAACAAGAAATGGTTATAGCTCAGAATAAAAAAAATGAGGGTGATCCTCTTTAAACGATGCATAGAGAAAGATTCTGTTCATATATTGCACTATTTTGTAGCATGGTTTATTAATTTTGGCTTAGTTTATGAATAGGCCAATATAGTGCATTCAGATATCATAGTTTAGCCTGATGTCAGCATGCTGGGCAGCAAGTTAATACTGTAAATATCTCTATCATTAAAGCTATTTTCCCTTTCTCTGCTTTGTCCTCTCTTGTGCAATGAACAAATGCTCTGGGCTCTCTTTCCTTTACACTAGCAAAATTGTGGTTTGCATATTTCACAGAAGTACTAATCGGTACGGAAGGAGAGTTTGATACAGGTAGTCTTTGACTTACAATCATTTGTTTAGCGATCATTCAAAATTATGACAATACTGAAAGAAGTCTATGCCTCCTGTTTAAGACTGGCATCCTGAGATCATGTGACCACCATTTGTGACCTTCCCAGCTGGCTTCCAACAAACGAAATCAATGGAGAAAGCCAAATTCTCTTAACAACCATGTGATTCATTTAATGACCACTGTGATTCCCTTAACCACAGCAAAAAAGGTAAAATTGGATGCAACTCACTTAACCACTACTTCACTTAACAATTGAAGTTCCGTTTCCAGTTGTTGTAAGTCAAGGACTACCTGTGGTCAAATTGCTGATGCTCATCCAATTCAGCCTTCTGTCAAGACTTTGTGTGGATTTTGACTCAGCCTTTTGCTTTTGCTTTTTTTTCTCATTAGGTTTCTCTTGCTACTGTGATATTCGTTGCCAGTCAGAAGACATTATCTTCTGAAGTGAAAGCTGTTATCAAACAACAGCTTGAAAATGATTCAAATGGATGGACAGCTTATAGGATAGCCAGGCAAGCTTCAAGAATGGTATGTGGTGCATAGTTATAAATCAGATTTTTTTTAATGCACAAAACTTTTTGTGTTTTTTCTTTTGTATGCTTTATATAAATTTTGCTTTCAGAGGTAATCATATATAGTCAGCATATAGCAGAGGCAGGTGTCCCACTTCTCATGTAAAATAGATGTATTTTTGATGAACTTTAATAATTGCACTTAGCACTTAGACTTATATACTGTTTCACAGTGCTTTATAGCCCTTTCTAAGCTGTTTACAGAGTCAGCATATTGCCCCCAACAATCTCGATCCTCATTTTATCCACCTCGGAAGGATAGAAGGCTGAGTCAACCTTGAGCTGGCAGTCAGCAGAATTAGCCCGCAATACTGTATTCTAACCACTGCACCACCACGGCTCTATGTTCTTTATTTGAAAAAGGATTTAAAACAGAGTTGAAGATGTGAAATAATTTATGTAGTTTATATAATTTATATAAAGTAAATTCTTCTTTCCTCCAATAGATGGTACCCAGTGGGCTAGCAAATAGATAAAACAATGTAACTAAAAGCACAATAAACACACTTTCAAATATTTCTGTGCACATTTTCAGCTTCACCTAAGTGTTAGAGACCTACCTAAATAGAAGTTGCATTTGTCTGCTGGTAGAATGCAGCAAAGGGAGAACTGGTCTGAAAAAGACTCTGTAGCAAATTTCAGAGCCTGGAAGCAGCTACAGTATGAAGAGCAATTCTACCTCACACTTCCATCAGCCATACCTCTAACGATGGCAAGCCTAAAGCAAGTGTCTGTAGGATAATGGGGTTTTTGTTTTTTTTAGACAACCACGTCCCATCTTTTGTAATGTTTTACAAATCATAACTATGGCTGGAAACAAATTGGTAACTTGTGGAATTGATTTGTCAGGAAAATCATATTCTCCCTGTAATTAATGTGAGACAATGGTGTGAACAGATTATTTGATTTTTTTTTCATCCACCTTTATTAGTTTAATAAATAATATACATTTATAATTTTATATGTGTCTATGTGTATTGTATATGCCAGGGATGGCGAACCTTTTAGAGACCGAGTGCCCAAACTGCAACCTAAAACCCACTTATGCATCGTCGGGTGCCGGGTGTGTGTGGCCCATTGGGGGTGTGGCCCATTGGGTGGGCGTGGCTGTGGTGGTAACGGCAGACTGGGTGGGACTAAAAAGTTCAATCAATCAATTCCAACTTTGCAAGATCTTTTTTTTTCCCCCGAGAAGTTGAAATTGACTGATTGATTGAACCTTTTTTTTTTTGTACACGGTGGCGGAGGCCTAAAGCGAAAAGGTTTTATAAAACCCAGCTGAAGGCCTAGGACTGGGGCGATGGTGCGCATGCCCACAGAGACGGCTCTGAGTGCCGCCTCTGGCACCGGTGCCATAGGTTCGCCACCACTGGTATATGCATTATACATTTATAAGACATATCCTGGGACAGACACATGTGGCACACTAAATCTTCCCTAGGGAGATTTCCTCTTGACCTCTATTGAAACCTTAGCATTCAGTTTCAGTACTGGGTTCAGGAGCAGACCCAACGTGAAGACAGCCTTCAAGGAAGAATGTAAGCCCCTTTCAACATTATGTATTGCCTCATCTTTTTCTTTTTAAGCAACTAGAGTCTCTTCTGGCTTAAATGTGCCAGATTAAATTCTGGTAACAAATGCCAGTTAGTCAAAATTAATTTTCTTGGCAAATCAAATTATGTTTATGCAACTGACGTGGTGTTACTGAGAGCACAGTGCGGTATCATGTATATGCTATTTGGGCAGCTGTTGATGGGAATTCTGTATACTGGAGCACAGGCACTATTACAGCACAGAAGGGAAGATTGCCAGCAAGTTTGATTATACTTGAGTTATATATTGCAAGGCTGCTTCAGATACATGTTTATTACTATCTGCTATGTTTAAGTATAGAGAATGTTCTGCTGTCTTCCTGTTTGCCTTTACCTTGTGTAGGGTAATCATGGCATGGCCAAAGAGCTTTATCAAAGCCTGCTGACCCAGGTAGCTTCGGAACACTTCTACTTCTGGCTGAACAGTCTGAAGGAGTTCTCCCATGCAGAGCAGTGCTTAACTGGGCTGCAAGAGGAAGATTACAGCTCTGCCCTTTCTTGCATTGCTGAGTCACTAAAATCTTATCACAAAGGAATAGCATCTTTAACGGTCAGTGGTTTTTTTTCCCCCTTGCAGAGCTGCTAGTCAAAGTACAAGTAGTCCTTGACTTACAACAATTCGTTTAGTGACTGTTCAAAGTTACAGTGGCACTGAAAAAAGGGACTTATGACCGTTTTTCACAGTTACAGCCTTTGCAGCATCCCCAGGGACATGTGATCAAAATTCAGATGCTTGGCCACCGGTTCATATTTATGACCGTTGGCAGTGCCCCAAGGTCGTGTGATCACCTTTCGCAACCTTCTGACAAGGAAAGTCAGTGGGGAAGCCAGATTGGCTGTAACAGCCGGGTTACTAACTTATCAACTGTAGTAATTCACTAAACAACTGAGACATGAAAGGTCGTAAAATGGGGCAAAACTCACTGAACAAATGTGGGCTCAATTGTTTTTGTAAGTCGAGGACTACCTGTAACAATCTTTTATTTTTTTCCTGTTTTGAGCTATAGCCTTCTGTTTCCTTGGAAAACCAATATAAGGTTTATATCTCATGGTTCAGAACAAGCTTTGGCTGGAACTGAGATTTCAGCAGTGATCCAGTGTGTTCTTATTTAGGAGATGGAGATTCCATCATTTCCTAGACCTCTGGTATGCCCAGACATGGATAGGCGCTCCCATAAGCTTCTTCTCTTTCTGAAGAAGAACCAAATATAGTTAGTGGGGCATTCCAGTGGTGCATGTGAAAATCTTGTCTGATATATCCTTTTCTTTGCTCCCGTAGCCCTCCTTTTTATCCATAGTCCAAAACCTGTCCAAATTAGGAAGTCTGATAGCCTCTTTGTAGATTGTAATCTATGCCTGGATTATTTGAAGGTCAGATATATCTACTGCTTAAAAAAGAACAGGAAAAAAATCCCTTGCACCTACAGCAATAAAATTCGTTATTGTTGCAGAAGCAAACTCCAAGGATGTGTCCTCATTGAATTAGCAGTGTGGGCAATGTGAAAGGGAGGAGTGTTTGGTCTCTCAATCACTTCATTTACTGTGTAGTTAGTTTACTCCCACAGTAATTTCAGCCACAAAATACTGCTGTGTAAGAGTGTAGGTGTTGAGCACATTATGTATTGCTTTGATACATGCATTAACTTTTCTCCAAGAGTGAATATGGAGGAGGCAGAGTCAGAACACTAAGATTTTTGACTGCAATTTGAGCAATCTTTGAATCTCGGTATAATCAACCAAATGCCAAAGTTCCTTTCTTCAAAGAGAGACCTTTCTTCCCATGTGCTTCTTCTTTTTAATTAATAAAAAATATGGCTTTTGCAGGAGTACAACCCTGTTCCACATTCCTGAAGCATTTAAAAAGAGAGGTTAACTTGCCTGCTGCATATATTTAAATGAGACAGAGGATTTGCAACTGAATAACCCATTGTTTATTTCAGAAATGCTGTATTTGCCACATAATCTTGAGGTGCGTTAGTAAAGCTGAGATGAGGAAAAGAAATAAAGTTGAGGTTTAAAATATCTTTAAAGCTTCATTCAAAAAGTGACTCATCAACCAATTTGAAGTAAATTAGAACATTGATTTTGAATTAGAGAATCCTTTGGTCAAATTCTCACTTACCTCTGAGGCTGGGCCTATTTACTTGCTTCCCAGGTTTACTCTGATACCCCTATTTTACTGGGCTCTAAGTTTCCTGAAAGAAAAAAGAGGTACAGATGCAATGATTAAATATTCAAATCAATATTATAGATATAAGCATTACAGGTAGTCCTCAACTTACAGCCACAATTGGGACCAGAGTTTTGATATCTAAGCAGTATAGTTGTTAAGTGTCATCACATGACCAGGGTCAATTTTATGATCATTTTTATAGCAGTCATTAAGCAAATCATCACAATATTTCAGTCAATCATGTAGTCTTTAAATAAATCATGTGGTCATTAAGTGAATCTGTTTTTTCTCATTGACTTTGCTGGTTGAAGGCCAGCTGAGAAGGTCATATATTGCAATCATGTGACTACAGGACACTGCAGCCATTTATAAATGCAAGCCAGTTGCCAAGCACCCAAATTGCAATTGTGTGACCAGAAGGGTGGTATGACTGTCAGAACTTAAAGGATGAGTCATAAGTCACTTTTTTCATTAAATGGATTAAAATTAAATGAATGTTTGTAAGTAAAAGACTATTTGTAGAATTTCCTTTTATGCCTTTACAAACATAGGTTGTCTATATTTATTCTGTAGATTTTCTGGATATAGAAATTATGTTTTCAAAGCAAGTCACTTGATGTGATAGAAATAAAAGAATGGGTAAAGGGCTTAACCTTATTAGGTTAGCCAAATTCCTTCATTCTTGTGTTGTACAATTGTCATTTTTGACTCCAGAACAAAGCAATTTGTCAAACTCAGCTAAGCAGAAATGAAACAATTTATATAGAGCAGAAAATGTATTTAATTGCTTAATGCTATGAAAATGTACTAATTTTAATAGAAAGAATATATGAAAATTGAGGCTTTTACAAGTGTCAGCTTGAGCCTTTATTAACCTTGTAAAAGCTTTTTATTTGATGAAACTATAAAATGTGATCATATAATTCAGGGGTCCCCAACTGGGCTGCACAAGTGGGCAAGTGAAGCTTCATCTGAGCATGTGGGGGATCTAGGTTGTGTGTGTGAAACCATCCCCCTGCCACCCCCACTGGTCCGTGGAGCCAGAAAAGTTGGGGACTGTTGATATAATTTATTCATCTCACTGGACAAACATTTGTTTGGTTATTTTGAGTGTCTTTAGCATTGCCCTTTAAGAGAATATTTATAAACTGAGCAAATAAAGAAATCCTTGTAGTCGACATCAACAATGTTGTGGTAAAATGTTCACCACTGCAAAAAGCACCTGATCTGATGCCTATATGTTCTTTACAAGTGCCCTCTTGGCATTCTCATTCTCATTCTCATTCTCTCTCTCTCTCTCTCTCTCTCTCTCTCTCTCTCTCTCTCTTTCTGTCTCTCTCTCTCTGTCTGTGTTTCTTTTCCGTTATCCTGCCTCCTTTACCTTGTATTCAAAGGATAATTCAAGAATCAAATTAAGTAATTGAAGTTTAAGAATATTACAAAACCATAGTATCATAACATATTTCATAACAATAGGACAGTAATCCATTGTACCATCTTGTCCTTGAAAAACTACAGTCATTGTTGGTTTCTTATTGGAAAACATGTCCACTGTCCCCCCCCCCTCTTCTCTTCTGAAGATGATTTAATTGGCTCAATGAAGTAGGTAAAATGCTTGAACAGACTGTACTAGGTCACCATAATTAGAGCATTCTGCAAATGATATTGGGTTGGTAATCTATATGTTAAATATAGTCCATCCTCCAACGCAAATTGCAACAATCTCAAAACATAATCAGAAGCTACCATCTGCACAGTCATTTGTATAAGTGGTTTGCTGCTTTTAATAAATAATCCCTCACTATCTAGACAAGCCCTTCTTTTCCCTTTGGAAAATCATTTCCAACTATTTACTAAATTATTATTTATGAACTTGTTACTTTGGACTCAGATTATGAGTCTCCAAGTTATACCTTTACCTGATTGTTATTTTTTTTTCCCTTCCAGGCTGCCAGCACACCACTTAACCCTTTGAGCTTTCAGTGTGGGTTTGTTAAACTACGGATTGACTTTCTCCAAGCTTTCTCTCAGCTCATTTGCACCTGTAATAGCCTGAAGACGAGTCCCCCACCTGCTATTGCCACAACAATTGCCATGACTTCAGGCAGTGATCTCCAGAGATGTGGTCGTATTTCCAACCAGGCAAGTGACCTGATCTACCTGTGCTGTTATTGTGTGAATATAGTTCTTTATCGTGAGCTCTGTGATTACTCACGAGTTATACTTCTATGCAAATCCCCTTTAAATCTTCTAGACTAGAGTCTAGAGAATTGCAGATAGTCCTCATTTAGTGACTATTCGCGGTTATAACTGTGATGAAAAAGTAACTTTGTGATCAGTCCTCACATTTACATCATGTAGAACAGGGGTGTCAAACTGCCAGCCCGCAAGCTGGTTTCATCATACCGAAGCCGTGCCCACCCCATTGCCAGCAATGCAAAATGAGTCGCAAAATGTCGCGACATATCATGTGTCGTGACGAGTTTGACACCTGTGATGTAGAACAAAGGAAAGTTGAAGTAAGCATAGATAGTTTCACATAGCAACCACTTAACAACTGAGTTGCCATTCCCATTTGTAGTTACTAAATGAGGACTACCAGTGTTTAATGGGAGCTCCAACCTCAGAAGTATCACATCACTAGCCACAGTTCCTTAATTTTGTTTTAGACCGCAAGTGTTAGCACATTCATTAAAATAAAATTGTTTTCATTTTATTTTTCCTATTTTTTTCCCCAATTCTTCTTCAAGTTCCTTGAAGAAACCTGTAAGGAAAACTTGTGTTTCCACTGCAATTGCCTAATCTTTGGCCTTATGGGTCCAAGAAGCCCATTTCACAAGTGGTAGCATTGTAGGAACAAATTTTCTTTCTCTAGTGTGTGCTAACAGTGTTTTTCCTTGCTGAAAATACTATACTAATTACCTAAGCATTGCTACTTGTTTACTAAAGTGGCTTGTCACAATTGTCTTCTTAATTTGTGAGCCACACCGGGTTGAACCAAGCCTTAATGAAGGCAGAATCAAAGCTGTGGTAACTTCCTTATTTTTCTCTAAGCTTCCTACCATGTCCCAGAAATTGTATAGTGGCTTTCATGTCTCTTCAAGACATCAATCAAGAGTTACACTTACAAGATGGATAGATATATGCCTCACTCTAATAATAAGTAAATGTTCCACTGCCCAGAGAGAATGTTTACATCTCTGTGCTTGTCATTATTGGTATTGTGGAAATGACACATTGAGGATTCAAGATATTCTATGAGGCCTGCTTTGCCTCATTCTGACCAAGGCAGAATGAAAAATAGGGATAAAAGCCTACCACTTTTCCAATCCATCTCTAGCACCATAAAGTTCTTTCACACAGTGGTATTCTCCAAATCTGTAACTGCTTCACCACTCACTGAGTCTGAGTCTTCATCACCTTCTCTTCAGTCATAGAAATCAATCCTGAAAGGAGGGAATCTAAGGCAGAGGCCCCCTAAGAGTAGTTCTGTAATAAAATTCCTGTTGTTTGCAGGTTTTTTCTTAATGTCAGCTGAGGTATGCCTTCTTGTAACTTATGGTCAATATTCTATACCCAATGCTTTTGAGAGCAGAAAACTGATCTTGTATTCTGTGGCACATTTCTTGAGGTATACGAAAAGGACTTCATATCTATAGGCCTTACTGTGTCGGACTAGATTTTACTTCCACCACCACTTAATCTGTTCAGTGAAATCCTGCTGGGTATCCCCACTTAAATGGAAATTGGAATGGCCTCCACAAAAAGCATGACTTTGTCAGGTACTGGTTAAATGTTTGGAGCACTCTCACAAAATACCCCTCCCTTTGTGCATTTTTTCGGTAGGAGGTAAGGTAATGCTAGCCATCTCAGGATGCCTTTGGCAGTTAATTTCTTAAAGCACTCCAAAACATTATAGTTTTGTGATCTAAGTTTGTTTGTCAGTTGTGTGATCTATGTCAAAGTTCTGACTGACAAACCCAACCAAGCAAATAAGTCCTGGACTTTCCGATCTCTTAATGAGAGACCGGCACATATGAAAGTAAAACCAGCTCTGGCAGAACCCCTCCCAAACCCTTATAGTAAAAGCATTAACTTCTTTCTCCTCCCTCTGGGTCAGGTCATGTTGCCCAATCAAGTTGGAAAATATTGTTATGAGAGAGCATCTCTGGGTCTAGCTAGCCACCTGGCCATTGTCCTTGATTCCCACAGTCTGCTTCCTTAATATTTGAAGTCTGTATTCTACCTCTCCCCTCTCCCAGAGCTCATTGGCAAGTTGAGAAGCAATGTCTGTCGCAACAGCAAGACTGGGCTTCAAAACTTGACAGTCTATTTTTGTTTAATTTTTCAAATTGCCTGGAATCAAAAGTAGGTGTTTTATATATAGAAAATTATTAAACTCTTTTGGAATTTACTGAAAAGTGCTATACTGATATTTTAAATCAATAACTATTTTATGTTCAAAGACATTAGATCCTTGCACTATCCCTAATAATACAGTTTTACATATACATATTAACATATCACTGAAACATTAGGACATTGAAAGAAGCACATCATCAGAAAATCGTCATTTCTTGGATACCAGGAATCAGTAGAGTGCATTGTTTTCCATCTAACTTACTCTAAAGTAGGGGTGTCAAACTCAATTTCATTGAGGACCGCATCAGCATTGTGGTTGCCCTTGGGGGGCCGGGTGGGTGTGGCCAGGGTGGGTGCGGCCTACTGGGTGGGTGTGGATGGAGTGTGTGTGGCCTATTGGGTGGGTGTGGCCAGCTCTACATCGTTCGTGTCAAGGGTGCCTATGGGAGCCTGGGGAGGAGTGGGATAGATCTGAGGGTCTCTGACAGAAGGGGGTGGAACCAGGGCAAGTGCCAAGGCATGGTCCACTGGAGGAGCCTCACTGTTCCTCTCAGGCCATCCGGAGGGGGGCTTATGGAGCTAAGACTGAATGCATTTCAGCATAGATGGCCACCACAAAATTGTACATTGGCTCCCAGCCGGCCTGGGCCAGGGCCAAGGCAGCGGGGGCCGTTCCCTCACTGTTTCCAGGATGGCTTCGCGGGCCACATGAAACCACTTCGCGGGCCGCATCCGGCCCCCGGGCCTTGTGTTTGACATGTTTACTCTAAAGGTCATAATACATGTAGCTTAGCAGGTCTTCCAGAGCAGACTCTCCCATAATATGAAAAGTCCTGTTCCTTCTATTTATTCATCTGAAATGAGGGGAGGAGACATGTGAAATAGTAAAGCAACATGTGGGGTTGCAGCAAAGAGAAAATCTTAACATGCAACCTAACAGCAGAACAAGGGAATAAAGCAAATGCTTCTTTCAGCAAAGTAAGGCGCTTTCAGCCACAGGAAGAAGCATGAATTGAGATTTGAGTCTGATCCTGCTGCCAATAATCTCATCTTGCTTCAATTTATAGGGAGCTATAAGAGAGATACTAGACTAGAGCCAAGTACAGAAAGAGTTTTAGGATAGCATTTAGGAGTCTCTGCAGCAGAGACTGCCCTTTGATCTAAGAATAGGTGTACTTGGTGTAGGATGCTGTTATAGGTAAGCATAGGAAAAAGGACAGGCCAATATAATATAAACCTCTTAGTTGAATTCTTTATGTATAATGTTCAGTCATGACCAGTGTCTTGTTTTTGTTTCTCTTTTTCTGTTTTGCCTCCACTCTGTGTTATGCAGATGAAACTCTCCATGGAAGAATTCAGAAACCTTGCAGCAAGATATGGCGATCTCTATCAGTCTTCTTTTGATGCAGACTCTGAAACACTGAGAAATGTGGAACTGTATCCTGCTTCTTATAATATGAAAAAAGTTTAAATCTTGGAACTTAATACTAAAGCCTCTATTGTATTGTTATTTATGAATGCTAAAAGAAAAGAACAAAGAGAACTGTTTGAAAAATGTAGATAGGTATTTGGTGTCTTAACTTCTCCCTTCACTGTAGTCCCCCATCAATTTGCAATGTTTATGAACATTTAACCGCTTAAAACCGTACTGTAAGTGCTTGGATTTGCCTTGCCTTATATTGTATAGTAGGTATGCAAGCCAATCTTGTTTGAATTTGATTATCTTGCTTCTTAAAAATCAGAGCTTGGATGTTTTTCCCCCAAAGAGGCTCCCTTGAGTCTATTGTGGCAGCTTAGGTAGAGCTAAATTTGTGCAGGCAATTCTTAGATACTTATAGTTTGAACATGCAAGTTCATTTTTAAAGTTAAAAACAAAGCATAATTATGGTTAGCTTGCCAGAATTCATCACTGAAAGTACGCCTTTTAATTTAATTTAAAATTTAAGCTTTGTCTCTTTTAATATAGCCCATCCCATATTGTCTTACTATTAGTGATTGTGTTTGATTATCACAAGTAGGATTGTGAAATCAAGTGTCTTCTTTGCCCAAGAACAAAATACTCTGTACTTCAAAGCTGTGTTCTGAGTTGGGAACAAAACAAGATATTCCATTCCATATTGTTGTTGGAGAATACAAAAGCAATTTAAAGCTTCAGAAACATATTCCATTGTCGATATGAGAAGTTTAATAGTTTGCAGAGAGTAATGCCATGCTGCTTTTGCTATATCTTCTCTGTGAATCATGCTTTCTTTTTTAGATAAGTTGCTGAATGCAAAAATGTATTTTGTACATGTACATCAAACAATGTATATTGCTTTCTTCCAGATGCCAAATACAAATACCACCCTGCTTCTTCATATATATGTTGAGGGTTCACCAACTGAAAAGTTGGGCATTGAGATTACCCATTAACAGAGCTGCTGTTGCTGTGCTGTGGAGCTCAGGTTACAGGCAAATTGCAGTTGTGTTAAGATGAATCCATTATTGTTGCTTGCTTCATTTCATGGCTCAGTTGTATAGGGATCTGAAAAAGTTGTCATTCTTTGGCTGGATTTTTTTTAAATGTTGAAGTCACCTTCTAGGTCAGTGGTGGCGAACCTATGGCACGGGTGCCAGAGGTGGCACTCAGAGCCCTCTCTGTGGGCACGCGTGTCGTCGCCCCAGTCCTAGGCCTTCAGCTGGGTTTTATAAAACCTTTTCGCTTTAGGCCTCCGCCACCATGTACAAAAAAAAAAAGGTTCAATCAGTCAATTTCAACTTCTCGCAGGAAAACAAAAGTTCTTGCAAAGTTGGAATTGATTGATTGAACTTTTTAGTCCCACCCAGTCTGCCGTTACCACTGCAGCCATGCCCACCCAATTGGCCACACCCAGCCAATGGGCCACACCCAGCCAATGGGCCACACCCACCCGGCACTCGACGATGCATAAGTGGGTTTTGGGTTGCAGTTTGGGCACTCAGTATCTAAAAGGTTCGCCATCACTGTTCTAGGTAGTTTTTCTGCATATAAGTTGATAGACAACATAGCATAGCTACCAGTACTGTTGTAGCCCCAGGACGAAAAGAAAGCATGAGGGAATTCCTCACTATACCTTATGCAAGAATACTCAACATTGTTTTGAACTTGATTCAGCCAGAACATGGACAACTCAGAATGTTCCATTGTAATGTCTGAAGTGGAACTATTCTGAAGGTGTTTTTTTTTTTTCCATTTTGTCTCTACCCCACATTGCAAGCCACAGATATTTCTTTCCTAGTTCTGAGATTTGTTTCTTTTTCCTCTAGCTAAGTATGCAAATAATTGAGAAGGCAATTCTCTATATGCAAAATGTACTTTCTCTTACCCAATGGGAAATAGAAAAATTACATTTTTTAAAAGGCAGTATTACATGTTTAATTTTGTTTTGGGAAAGCAAGGCTCTCCCCATTTCTTCCATTCCGTTATTTAAGACTCCTGTTTGCTCCATTTATTCTTTTGGCAATAGGAACTGCTGCTACAAATGAACTTCCAACTGTGCATAGATCTCTCTTGCTTGCACATATGTCTGCCCTGGGCTGCTAGCCATATCCTGTGTTCATTCAGGCCTTTTATGTCTTGTACCACCAACCGCCAACTTCTTCTGACGTTTTGTTGCACTGTTACAAGGAAAAAAAGTCCCCAAGTTAAAAATACTTGGGCTCATTCAAATAAATAGGTTGACTTTTCAATGCCATAGGATATATCGTGTATGTATATCATGGCAGTTTCCCATCATTATTCAAATCCTTTTATGTGTAAGATAATATAAAATATATGTTGCAACTTTTCTTTGTTAATATTCTTTAACATCACTTCAGGCAGCAGCAGAGTTGCTTATTAATATCACATGCAATTGAAGCTCTGATTTTAGATCCTGAATCTGCAAGGTATAAGTACTTCAGATTGCCTTTTGTCTTTCTTTTATTTGCTAACCTTTTCACTAATATTCATGTTCCCTCCATATGTTGGCTGGACATTATGGGAGCTAAAGTCCAGCATATTTGGAAAGTGCAGGCTGGGGAAGGCTCAGCTGAGCAGTTCTGCTATAAAATAAAAGCTATACAACGTTTCTGTAAAAGAACACACACCAGCTACTTCTTGAATTCTTTATAAAAGCAATGTAGCAATAGCAATAGCACTTAGATTTGTATACCACTCTACAGTGCTTTACGGCACTCTCTGAATGGTTAATAAATATCAGCATATCCCCTCCCCGCCCAATCTTGGACCTCAAGTATAAGTCTTACATGAATATTTTTTCTGGGGATGTGTTGTATTTTAATCTAAAGCCACACAGGTGCTTTAGAGTGGACATGGGCCTTATTTTTCATATATATATGTATAAGCAATTTTTCTGCTTGAATCCAAAGAGCGATCTATCTCTAGTGCAGTGTTTCTCCACCCTAGCAACTGGGGAATTCTGGGAACTGAACCCCACGTATGTTAAATTTGTCAAGGTTGAGAAACACTGCTCTGATGTCCTCCTTCAGGAAGTACTTTTCCCATTATTTTCTGCTAGTGAGCATTTGCACATTTCCTGTGCAATATTATAAAAGGTTCTGGAGCACAGTTGAGATTTTGCATTCAGCGTTGATTTAGTCCTGTTAGGCTTCATCACCAATCCATATGAATTTGGTGTTCAGCCTAAAATCTTGGTGAGTTGAGACCTGTTTGAGCCCTTAGGCCTTTTTCATCTTTTTGGAGAACAGTAGCCACTTATTCAATTCATTATTAAAAAGGCTAGACTTGTAGATATACCCCAGATGGTTTGGAGATACTTAAATGTTCAGGAAAACAGAGATGTTAACTGAAATAGAAAACTGTTCTGGAGATTTAAGCAACATAATGGCTCCAGTATTGAAGAGAATACAAGAAGCTATCAAAGAATATTACTCTTGGTATATTGTGTTTCTATGTTTAATTTTGCATCAGCAATACAATTGATATTCCTTATTCTGTTAACTCTTTCAACTAGACACTTCAAATATGTGTAAATACAGGTAGTTCTTGACTTACAACCACAATTTCTGTTGCTAAGTGAGACAGTTCTTAAGTGAATTTTGCCCATTGTACGACTTTTCTTGCCACAGTTGGAAAGTGGATCACTACAGTTGTTAAGTGAATCTGGCTTCCCCATTGACTTTGCTTGTCAGAAGGTCACAAAAAGTGATCATGTGACCCTGGGACACTGCAACCATCATAAATACCTGCCAGTTGCCAAGCGTCTTAATTTTGATAATGTGATCTTGGGATTGCTGCAACGGTCATAAGTGTGAAAAATGGTCATAAGTCACTCTTTCAGTGCTGTTGTAACTTTTGAACAATCACTAAATGAACTGTTGTAAGTCAAAGACTACCTGTACAGAAAGTACTCTGCAGGAAAGATAAAATAACTACACACTGAATATATATATATATATTTTTACAGCTTCCAGGAATATGGGTCTGCGGGAGTAGCCCATGCTGCAAGTGAATATGAAAGGAGAATGATGTCTGTGTTTGGCTATGTGTTGGAAGAAGTGGAGGCGCTGAACCGAAAATATGCACCAGTATCCTACATGGCGAGTAATATCATTTCTTATATAGAAAACACTCCAGGGTTTGGCCTGAGATAAGAGAACAGAATCCTCAAACTGAAAAGCTAAATATGGTTTTTTACATGTGTTTATGTATATTTAATCAAAATATTCTTCAATAGAAAAGTAGGAATGAGACTGCTTCTCTTTTCTGCCTTCTTTTATTTCATTTTCCGGAACTTGAATTTTTAAAATATACTTCAAGCTCTCATGCTGTGACGGACATTGTACAAAAGGTTTATCTGTAGAGCTTGCCAGAGACCTTATGCAATTGTTCCTATTCAGTAATACTGATTGGGTTTCAGCAAGACTTTTTACCAATCTAGTATTTCTTTTATTGGCTCAATCATCTATGAATACTAGTGCCATTTATACTTGCTCCAAAAACAAAGCGGCAAACAATCAGTGTTGCATTGGGTATACTCTATTTTCCATACGTGGAATAAAATCAAGATTTTGGACGTACTTCAACCGTTTTTTTATTTGATCCCTTGGAAAAGGCAGCATAGATTTTGAGATTTTTTTTTCGCCTGTGGTGAAGATAGATTTGAATTTTTATGTTCATGGAAAAGGGCATCGACTTCTGAAGAAAAACCGAAATTACAATAACACCTGAACAGCAGGAAGGAGGACAATTACCTCAAGACTTGTTTGCATACTTCCTAAAAGCATCAGATTGACTAAACAGGATGCTGGATTAGTTAGACTTTGATCTGACTCAACAGGGTTAGTCTCCATTCAGATCCATATCTTTGCTGGCCGCTTTTGTTGACTGTAGCACAACCGTTGCCGGAATGCTTCAGACCTCAGTTCCTATAATCTTCCAACCAAGCAAGGAAATAATTTTGCTAATTGGAGGATTATTAGAATTAAGTCAAGATAAGCACCAAATTGATGCTGACCGTTAACATCAGATAGTCCAGGGGTAGTCAACCTTGGCTCTTTTATGACTCGTGGACTTCAATTCCCAGAATTCCTGAGCCAGCTTAGCTGGCTCAGGAATTCTGGGAATTGAAGTCCACGAGTCATAAAAGAGCCAAGGTTGACTACCCCTGAGATAGTCTCTTGTGTGCCCAGTTCAGTTGTTCTTAGGACTTGCAGATATTCTTCCAGATTTCTTCCATTTCCAGTTTCCAATCTCTGGAGCTTTTTGGATCAATAGTATGTTGTGTCTTGGCTTCCTAAGCACCAGGAACTGAAATACTAATGCCCAGAGTTTGTTCATGATGTTTCCTATTCCTTTTGTAAAACAAATAATTCTGATCAGACTTGCCATTCTTTTGTTCTAGCATACAGCTTGCTTATGCAGTGCAGTCATTGCCTTGCTGAAAGTCCCCTTATCATTTCAGAGGTATTTTTTTCAGAAGCTACAATCAACTAGCATTAAGGTAAGCTATATTTGCATTTAGGTATAATTGCAGTTTGGGGGAAGACATTTTATTTATAACTCCTAGATAAGCAGGCTGGGAGAAGTGGCTGGAGTGAGGTGGGGGCAGCCAGTTGCTGCCTAAGCTCTGATTTACCCATGATGTTAGATTAGACTTTTAATGAAATATTTGAACTAGAATTCATATCTGAAATAAAGTTTTGGCTTAAAAAATAATTTTTAACCACTGTGAGTTCTATTCTGCATTGTGAGACAGTTTTATGACGAGCCTCAGTTACAATTCGTTGTTGCCTTGTGAGTTAATGGACATCGACATTTTCTAGCAAATAAAGATATTTCTTTTGAAGCAAGTAGTGCTTTTTTATGTATTGATGTTGGGGATGTTTTTTGTTTTGCCGTGCTGCTTCCGTTAGCTTGCTAATGCATTTTATCGTATTTTTTTATTCAAACAACTATATATGGTGAAATAAAACGAGATAAAACTATCTTACATAAATACAGAAATGTAGCACTTTGCAATTTTGTTTCTTTAGCTTGAATGAGTATCTCAGGTCTAAGCCACCTCTCTTCTTTTAAGTAGAGAGGTTGCCCTACTGTTGTGTTTTTTTTGTTTGTTTGTTTTTAATTCTGGTAATAACTAGCTGAGAAAGACTGTGAATGAAACCTATGCAAAATATAATATTCACAATTTATCCCACAGAAAATAAGTAAGAGAAAATAATTTCAGAAGGCTAATCAGTCTCTGTCATTGCTGGACAGAGAGAAAGTGAGACATCAGTAAGGTTGTGTTTCTGCTTCTGGTCCTCTATGTCTCTTGTCTGGGTTTTTGTCATCCCAAGCTAATGATGGGAGGAAAACTATGGTATTGAAGGAGATGGGGTAGAAAGTAGATGTGCAGGAAAATGATGCAACACAGTAGTGACTGCTGAATAATTAAGAATGACAGAATTAATATTGGATGTTGGATTCCTTCCTTCCTTCCTTCCTTCCTTCCTTCCTTCCTTCCTTCCTCCCCCCCCCCTCAGTTTCTGGCAGCATTTCTGAGATAATTTTGATTTCTGCCTGCTATGCAATATTTTGGAAGCTTGAAAGATTCCAATAGTTTGAGTTGATCTTTTAAATTCTCGTGGTCTCTTTTCCTGCTTTATTCTCCTGCTTCATATTAATGGTTGCTTTATTGATTATCCATTTGGTATAAGATGCCTTCAGATGCCTCTAGTCTATTAACCATGTATCCTGCTTATAAAATAATCATGCTACTAGACAAATATATTTACGTTCTCTATAAATGGATCATACATTAAAGGCAATCATTGATGGAGAGCAGCTGGACACAATATAGCCAAAAATGTTTTCCAATTATTGCCTAATGTCAATACATGCTTGTTTTCCATGTTTGGTAGAGACCTTAGTCACCTTATAATTTTGTCACAGAGAGAGCATATCTTTCTCTATGAAAAATGTTTGATGTAGGCCAGGGGTGTCAAACTGCTGGCCCGCGGGCCGGACACGTCATCCGGAAGCAGCGCCCACCCCATTGCCGGCAATGGCAAAACCGTCCCGATACCTTGCGTGACGTCACGTGACGTCACGAGTTTGACATGTCTGATGTAGGCATTCAAAAGATGCATTTATGTATTTATTTTTCCCAATCTAACATGAGATTGCATAGAAAGTACCTGGGATTAGAACTCTATGACTGTCAACGAAATACCTCTTTGAAAACTGAACCGAAGAGGGCCAAATGGGTGTGGGGAGAAACTGGCAAAAGAATGATTGATACTGAAAATGGGGCCAGATCAGACCAGGGGCTATGAAGAAAAAAAAATGTTGAAAAATTCCCACGGTGCATTCTTGTGGAAGGAACAGTTGGCCAGCAATGTGGAATCTTGGCAGCTGCTTTGTTCTAAGCAGCATCTCCTCTGTTTCGATCATGTGACCCAGAGCTCAGCGTATGCAGTATGCAGCCCTTGCCTCCCAGTGCAGACATAAAACACAACCATATGGCCACTGTGTCAAAAGGTTTGGAAAGAATTCCTGAAGTCATGCTCTGCTTGCTTTCCATGCTGTATTTTATCAAGATTATGCAATGAAATATTGCTCTGCGTGACTGAACTTTTGTATGCCATTTCTGTTGAGAAATAGTGCAGTTTTTCTCCTAAATGAAAGGACTGCTAGTAAATAAGTAAATGTTAACATCCAGTTTAAATGGTACACCCCAATGCGCTTTCTAAATATTGTGGTAGCTCTGATGCTTGCATAGGTGGAAATTGAAATGTGTCAGTGTACAGGTCTCTTTAGGGTGGTTAAAGATGGTTAAAGAAAGCCAGCAGATATTTCTTTGCCTTCCCAAAGAAATAGCTCATGTTTTGTGCTCTGCTACATCCCTTTCAATAAATAGGTCACTGGCATATGGATTGGTGTGCATAGAGGATGAGACTTTAGGAATGTTTTAGTGATGTTCTTAAAAGCAACTGCCTGTGAATTCAAAATGTTTGCTTACAAGCAGATCTAACAAATATCTTTCATACCAACAAAAGTATGTGTAAACAATCTAGGCAGTGTTTTGTTTGGGAACGTTTGAAATGCATTTTACCTGCTGCTTTAATTTATGCAGTAGATAAACTCAGTAGTAAATGGCAAAATGTAGAATGTTCTCGGCTCACTTCCTGGCTGGTAGCAAGCAGATGGTGCACCAAACTTCTGCATGTCCCTCATTGCTAGTCAAAGTGGAAAATAAGGTTGGGTGGTCAATTAGTTTGGGAGGCAAAATGTTCTATTTATTTGAAGGCTACAAAAAAAAAAAAGTTGAATACACTAGAATGAGTTACTTGGAAATATATGTGGTGAAATAGAGATAAGGTCAAGAATGGATGGATGACGAATGAATATAAATGGAATATAAAAGCAAGTGACCAATTTGAAAATAGTAAATTGAGTTGGTATGGTCATATGCTGTAGAGAGAATGAACAAGATGGAAATACATGAAGGAAAATTGTATGGTTTGAGACGAAAAGGAGGATTGAGAATAATTGGATAGAATTGATTTGATTTATGAAACAGTAAAAATACTGAGGGTTTACAATAATAGAAAATAATAGAGAGATATAGTGAATAGTATTCGTGTGCTCTAATTTTTAATCATGTTTCCTTTTCTTTTTCTTTATCCCTTTATTTATTTATTGGTTTTGACTTTCTATTCATTTTATGTGTTTGCATTATGTTGCTTCCCCTGATAGTTAGGCATAAATATTTCAGTACTGCAAAAACAACCAAAATTAAAATAAACCAAGGCATAAGCAGAAAAGATTATGCAAAACAAACAAGTCGTGTGGAGAAAAATCCAGATTTTTCATCAAATTGATTCCCTAAAATGGATAGCTCTTCCCACCGTGCTGCATCTTGCTCAAAGTTTTACCTCAGGGGTAGTCAACCTTGGCTCTTTTATGACTCGTGGACTTCAATTCCCAGAAGTCTACGAGTCATAAAAGAGCCAAGGTTGACTACCCCTGGTTTACCTGATAAATCTCTCAAGAAAATAATTCCAAAGCACAGATGAAAGCAGAAAAGTTACTCTTTGCAGAAAATAGGGAAATCTTGAGGTCTCTTTCAGGTAATCAGTTGATTATGTCAATAACAGTTGAGTTCATGTCTGCTTAGATTTGCTTGGAGTGTGTTTATTTAAGATTATCGGAATCAAAACCTAAGGGCTTTTGACAACCGAGGAAGCTTACTTATAACCTTGTACAATGCTACAAGAGTCATGTTTAAGAGCATAGGTATTTCCTGCAGCTGAGATTCTTGAGTTACTTTTTATACAGAGCAGGCACAGTAGTCTGGCTGCCTCCTTGCTTTATTCCGTAACGATGCACTTAATATTTAAAGCTTCAAATATGCAGTGGTTAGATTTCACACACATAAAGCCCTGTTTGATGGAGATTAGGTGACAAGAGATCCATCAGTTGACCATCCTTTTAGTGCTGGGCTTTTAAATGATTCAACACTAATATACTGTGGAAGGAATCTAATTTCCATGTTGATGTCATAAAGCTTTGCTAAGTTTTTGAAAGGGTGTGAAGAAGGCAGTTGATTTATTTGACACGTTTGTGTTGCTTATCTGTCTTAAGATTATATGTTCTCTGTTCCAAAAAATGTGAAGCTGCTGGATTAGGAAGCCATGAGTTTTAGTTGTTCCTAAGATGGCTGAGTGACTTTGGGCTGGTTGCTCTGTCTCAGTCTAACCCATCTTACAGGGTTGGTTTTGTGGCAAAAAGAGAAGGCCGGAGCATTATGCATGCTGCCTTGAGTTGTAAAAAAATTAAGAGAAGATATAATAATATACTTTACTTATGGAAACAAAAATTTGAATCTATTTGAATCTATTTGCTTTATGTATTTTCCCCCCAAATTCTCACTTTCTACAAAAATATTTTTTAAAATAGCAAAATTGGGGTGGGGGGAATGTTAAGTTTAATAGGAAGGTCCTTCTCTTCCATATCTCAACCAAGCTGAATGTCCTAGATACTTTTCTGTCTCCTATTAAAGTAAGTTTTCTGTACAAACAGTAGTTTCCTAGTGGACATACAACAAAGTAATCATGAAATAGATTATATAATTTTGGAAGCTGTAATGTGAAATATTGCAGATCTCTCCAACTCAGCACTCCTCAGCCATGCTAGATTACAGATCTCATTATTTCCCATATCTCTGTGGGTTGAGATAATATTCAGTGAAATAGAAAAATTTATTGAAATTCTGGCTAAATGTCAGACCTGTCCCAGCTTGGGCATTTAGGAAAGAAAGACCCTAAACACCATTTGTAGCAAAAGGTATACTTTTACTAATGCCAAGTGGTTACAGCACAAGCAAAATCAGATATGAAAATTCCCATGTAAATCTGGTATTTTTCCCTTCTCCCAGGCCTCCCCCCCCCCCCCCGGTCATCTTATTGGTGTCCAATGAGGTTCAAATTAGTTGTTTTGGTAACAGTTCTAAAGTTTGGTGCCTCTTTGATGGGCGTTCGCATTCCATTCCCATTCCCGTGTCCTTGGATCGTTCAGCCCGTTGCCTCTGGTTGGCACTTCTGGTCCCTGTCATCTCCCCTTCCTCTATCTTTCTATCCCCCCTCCTCATAGTTTATGGCAGACTACCCTCAAAATGAAGCAGGGCTGAAGCAGTGTAATGGCAGATCTGACACTAATGAAAATTTGGATAAAGTGTTGACAAATTGGAATCTCCTGTTTCTTTCAAATAGGGCATTATACACACAGCAAATGCACTGATAATAGAATGAGTTCCTAATGCCCTTCTCTTGATCAATACTTTTTGCAGTACTGTACTTACTTTTTTCTCTTCTACTTGCATCTTGTTCTAATTAGTTTGTGGTAGTATTACATGTTTTCTTTTTTTCTGAAAAACATCAATTAATAAATATAAATATTATCTATTTCAGCTTGCCCTATCACCCTCTCCACGTAACCCTGCTGAGCCCATTGTGGTTCAAAATAACCAACAACTTGCATTAAAAATAGAGGGAGTAGTCCAGCATGGCTCCAAGCCAGGCCTTTTTCGAAAGATTCAATCGATCTGTCTAAATGTGTCATCAACTCTGCAGAGCAAACCTGGACAAGAGTACAAGGTAAAAAAAAAACAAAAAACCACTACAGCATGAACTGTCAACATTTCTGCTCCCTAAAACCCATGCACAATTAAAATAGAATTTCACTCCACTAGGTAGCAAGAATTTTTTACACTTCAAGTATGTTCTTGTCTATTAACATGAGTGCAAGCTTCTGTGATGATTCTGGTTCCTTTGAAAATGAGACACTTGAATAAGACGCTGATCCTGGTGCTAGGTTCATATCCCCATGATGTGTATAACATCCCTGGAAAGATAATCCTTGTCTTCACTTGCTCCATTGACAGGAACATCAATCGATAATAGTTGCTAGTATTCCAGCAAGCTTAAAAATTGTGCAGCTGTCTGACAACAAGAAACAAATCTAGTCAAGTGAAAGAGGACTATTCCCCAAGGGAGGGCAAGAAGACCTAGGAATAGCTCAGCAATTTGAAATACGGTATCTTAGAAAAAAACAGACAAATAACTTCATATATTTTGTTTAGACAAGCTAAATGAATATATGGAATATTTGTTGCTTATTTGATTCATTTCTGGTTAATAGTGTCTTCAGAAAACCTAGTCTGTATAAGTAAAATGAAACACTCAACATTTCTTTAAACATTTGGTTGCCTGGTGCTTGCTTTCTCCCACAGATACCCATTGACAACCTAACTAATGAGATGGAACAGATGGTGGAGCCTCACAATGATTACTTCAGCACACAATTCCTCTTGAACTTCATTGTTGTTGGCACCCATAGCATCACAGTGGAGTCCTCAGTTCGAGATCTCAATGGCATTGTATGGAAGACAGGGCCAAAAACCACACTATTGATTAAGTCTCTTGAAGATCCATACTCCCAGCAGATTCGGCTTCAGCAACAGCAGGGGCAGCAGCTGTCTCAACAACCACAGCAGCTGCAACCACAGCCACGGACGGCTTACTCCCGTTTTTAGCTCTCATATATCAGACAAGGAGCCTATGTCAAGGGCATTACAGATTGTTTGGAAATTTTTTCTTTCCCCAGGGCTCACATTTCTTCCTCTATAACAGCGGCAGTCTTGATTCTTCTTTGTTTCCTTAAGCACAATTTGCATGTTTGAAATGCTGTGGGATCACTAATATGACAGTAGATTAAGGCAATTTGTGGCAAACTGGTTATGTAAAGTGGTTCGGCTTGAAGTTCCAGTTATCATCTTCATCTCACTTCATTACAGTTTTGCCCTTGTGATGTAATACAAGTCCTAGTTTAACTTAAAAAAACAATCCCCAATTTCATGTGATGTCTTTCAAATGCAGGGTTATCAGTCACTAAAAGACTGGTATGGACCAAAGTCATCTAAAAGCTGCTTACAATAGCTTCCTGCTAAACCAGCTCATCTAACCAAGATTCAGTACAAGTGATGGAGTCTAGTTGCATTACATAACACAGCCAATCACTTTAGTCTAATTTCATCCCTTCTCTCTTAAACTGTGTTCTACTTAAAGAATATTTTATCTGAATTATTTCTTTATGAAGATCACTATGGAGCCTGAGATAAGAATAGTTTTGATTGGTATCCCAAAGCATCCATCTTCATCTGCACTGCCTGTGAGATATCCTTCTTGGTGAGTGAGCAAGGAGATCTAAAGGGATTTTTTAAAATTGCAATCATAATAGCTCTTTGAGTCATCTAGTTCCCAGTTCCTGCTGTATATGATTCTGCTTATTACACTATGAGGAAGTACTCCCCCACATCCTCAAAATAATGCTATCTGGATTTAAAATAAATATATAACATAATGCATCTAAAAGTGGGAGAATTTTGATACAAAGGTCCACACTGAGAAGGTGGCATTGTTACTTAAAAAGAGAATACATTCTAAAGTAGAACAGTGATAGAAGGACAATGCATGACCGCTAACCTGTAATCTGAAGGGGATGCACTTTGCCTGCTATTATTAGTTCCTTCCTCATACAGGCTTAATAAGTATCCTGTTGAGAAGATTCTCGCGTTACCTATTTCATGAATAAAAACTTGCTGATAGATATAAAAGGAAGTCAGTGGATCTGAACACTCTGATGAGCACATACCATAAATGGTTTGTGGACTGCATATTATAGTAACAAAGGAGGAATTGCCCTTTGCAATGAGTCTAAGCCTCTTTTCAACTGGTTGTTGTTATTTGTTCGGTTGTGGAGAGTTACAAGCATGTTGGTGGAAGTCCTCATTGTCTTATTCAGTTAAAGTGAGTTAGGGTGTGTGTGTGTGTGTGGTAGTTGGTTTTTTTTAGCAAGAGGGGTTTTTATACTGATGGTAGGGAAATTACTCAAATAGGTTTTTATTAATTAAATTATTGTGTGGTCTTTTTCTTATGTACATGCCAGTTTAATAAATTGTTTTTAATTTTCATTTGGTTATTAAAAATGGAATTCCTTGTGAACATGTAGCCATTATCCAGTCAACAGACCTGTACATACATCTTAATAATGAAATAAATACCACATCCCAATGCATATTGCAGCTCTAAGAACTCTTGAATCTAAGATCCAATGCAATCCTAATCTTCATAACTTCAGAAAAAGTCTGCTTTGGTATGATTATTTTGAAATCCAGTATTTGTTTATTTAAGTTATATCCTTATATCCATATATCCTTATATCCAGTTATATCCATTCAGGAGCTCATGGCATATACAGTAGATAGTGCTCCCTCCTACTTTTCCCACAATAACACTCCTATGAACTGAAGGGGACTGACTGGCCAAAAGTCAATAAGATTCTGTGGAGGAGGGTGGACTAGAAATTGGGCTTTGTAGCAGAATGGTACATACTGTTTGTGAGGGAATTTGAGTTAGATTACCTGTTCGTTGACAACCAGCTCTGTTTTTCCCTGAGACTAGGAAAAAAAAAAACACCAAAAAGGGTTATTGTGTGCCTAAATATTTACTTGAATGCAGTGCTGGACTAGATGAACTTCAGCAAATTGAAAGTGAAGGCATGGCTCAATTAAAAAACTTCCTAACAGGAAGAGCAGTTTGACAGTAGAACTGATTACTTGCAGATTGTTACCGGTAATTGGTGGCATCACACAGAGGCAAGCCACTGCAGTAAGCTTCCATGTCCCATGAAACTTTAAGACACTATTTTAGTGTCTTAAAAGTGATGATTTTTATGTTGATCTTCCCCAGCTGTCAACTTCCTTCATATCTGTATGCATTTGATGTCACACACATGTATACAAAGGTGGGGCTTCAGCTGCATTGTCATGCCTGGCTTCCTGACCTTTTTGACTTCTCCTTCAGATGACCCAGAGCTACTATTATAGTGTTGATCCTTATAAATTCCAGGCTGTCATCTGACCACCTTACAACCATTAATAATCTTGTCTGTGATACATATGTCTCTCTTTATTTTTGATGTCTTAATTTCTCAACATGATGATTCACTGCCAAGTGTAGAAATTGCCTCAAGAGAAAAACATGATGTAAGTAAATCACTGGAAAATTCTCTCTAATGTGCTATCTCACAATGGTATAAACTGATCCAGACTTCTCCATCCCTTTTCAGGTGTTCTCATCTCATGTCTTGAACGACAATTTTTTTGAAGTCTCTGTTCTCCGTGTGACTCTTCTTTGAACATAATACTATAGAAATTATAATCAATACATCTAGGGAGAACTGGGTTCAGCAAGATTGTTCTAGATCCTCTGATTAGAAAGAAAACCCTTATCTAGATGTGGAAGGTCTTTCCTGAGACAAATGTATCCTGGCAATCCTCTTATTAATCCTTAGTCATGAACAGAAGGGTTTAAATCTAGCGGAGATGTAAAGATCTATTTAATGTTTCTTACAAGCTCACTGAAGGAAAGTATTGCTTCATGAATATACATAAGACAGCTACCAAATTTTAGAATTATGACTTTTATTGTATAACATGTTCAAAGATTACTTTTTCACAACGTTAGAAGAAAGTTATAGGAAATTTGCAAAAAGATTTGTAAAGAAACCCTTCAGAATAATGGTGACTGTCCAACTTTGAAAGAGAACATTCAGTCCCTTTGCGTATATTTCTTTTCTACAAAAAAAGAGGATATATTAGAGATAGTGATAGCCTGAGCACAAATATTAAGTGAACTAAGTGTGTGGGTCAATACAATGCATATACCTCCTAATAAGTTGAATGTTGGCAGCACAATGTTGGTTTACAAGGCAGTCTTGGATTAAAAATAGCTGACAATACTGAGAGTAAGTTTGGTGTAAAATTACTATGTGTCGTATTGATTAAACTGGACAAAACTGACCAGTACAAAATGACCCCCTCTTTTAGCAGAAATACAAAAATTACTGAGTGGTTGGGAGAGAAAAGCACCAGTGAAAGAAAAAACAATTTAATGAAGACTGAATCATATGTAGGTGTCACTGAATACATATTTTACTTCAGGTTTAAAAGCAGAGAACTTGAATAGAGAATGGAATGAAATATGCTTGAAAAGACTATGGTGGCTGAGTGGAATATTCAACATAATAACTCAACAACATGCTTTTGTAAGTCTCACACATGAAACTCATGTTCTGTCCTGGATTGATTTGTTCTAGTGAACTCTTATTTTGTATAACTGGTCAAGAAATCATTAGTGGCATGGTCTAGATCGGGGTAGTCAACTTTGGCTCTTTTATGACTCATGGACTTCAACTCCCAGAATTACTGAGCCAGCTGTGCCATCATCAGTTGAAAAAGATCTTAGATTATTTGAAAAAGTGAATGAGCATGTTCATTTGGAATAGACCACTGTGCTAATACCATGCAACTTTAAATGCTCATCATCTTTCCAATTTTCTGGAGCACTTAAGATTAGAAATTTACTTCCTTTGGAAAAGAAGAGTCAAGAATTTTTGCACATGAGTTTCATGTAGTTTGAGTCACATCTTAGTTGTGTGCTAAGATGAGCGGCCATACAAATCTTCCAAGTAAATAAATTGAGCCAAGATTTAAACTACGTAAATAAATAAGATGTATTCTCACTGCATATAATGAAGATTTCTCAACCAAGCTGGTGCCATTATCTCTGTTGTTGAAAAAACCGAATGGATGTATTAGAGATAGTGATTCTAAACTATCATTCTAAATTTAATTTGTGATTGCTAGCATATTTGCAAGATGTACTCTCTAAGCAGAGGCTGTGCTGAACCACCTATTTTCCTAGTACAAGGTGATTCTCTACAGTTTGAAATGCTCTTTAAGTCAGATTTAGAACACGTAACCCATTTAATATCCATGTTCATGTCGCAATGTTTACATACAAAAGGGATAAAATAAACCCTTTCGTGGCTGAGCAATATTACAGTATCCCATGCCTCAATGATATCAGCCTATCCCACTTAATCTGGCAGAAGGCATGCTGCAGTCTCCATCTGTCAGAGTTTCGGCTGCTGAGATCTAGGGGAGCCTTTTCTGCCATGGACCCTGCTTTTTGGAATATTATGCTGCTTAAAATGAGGTCTATCCCGCCTTTGGTCTTCTGGAAAGGCATTAAAATCTAGCTCTGCTGATTGGGTTGGTGTCCTGATGGAGGCACTCTTGGAGATGGCTGGTGGACTAAAAGAGAAGATGCCACAACTGAACTGGTCTTGTCCATATAGCTAATGTTTTTTATTGTTTTTAATATTTATTATTTTAATTGCCCAGAATGGCTTTACAGAGATGGGCAGCGTATACATTTAATAAATAAATAAATAAATAAATAAAGATTTTTTAAAAATTGTTTAAATTTAATAAATAAATAAAAGAAAATAAACATGTTAGTGTACTGTGTATACTAAATTAAATTAAGCAAAATATCTACGGATATTCTCAATCATCCAGGTCATGGTTATCCCAAAGATGCTTTTTTCCCCAAAAAAAGAACAAATGCTCTTGTTTTTTTTCTTTGGAAACTGTTTCACTTCTTATCCAAGAAGTTTCTTCAGTTCTGAACTGAAGAAGCTTCTTGGATTAGAAGCTAAACATTTTCAAAGAAAAAAAAACCAAGAAAATCCAATTGCCTTTGGGGAAAAAGAGCGCCTTTGGGACATCAGACAAAATAGGTTTATTTGGCATTGCTCCAATATGTACCAATGTAATTAGGATTGTTCAAGCAATTATTTTTTTTCTGTCGCCCTCTATGGATATGAAAGTTGGATGATTGTTTGATGTTTTCCAGAGCTCTTGCATTCCTTTACTATGGTGAGATTTATATCATCATAAAGAACTCTGACTTCCTATAGTTGCTGTTGCTAGCACAAGGCAATGTTGTACAAAGACAACTCATTCGGTTTTGTTTATGTTTTAGTGTGAACTCAGTACATTGAATGAACTATGCCATGGGTTGTGCAAACAGTCTAGCCTAGAGCGGCCTTCTCTGTAATAGGACTGCAACTCCCAGAATTCCTATCCAATATGACCAAACATTTACAAGATTAAGATATAGTAGTTCTGGGCTATGTGATTACTCTCTGACTAACTTATTCATTCTTGATTTAGCAATTAATTTACTTGTTTCGTAGGAGCAGTTCAGTACACCCAGCCTAGACAAGCCTGTTTGGCTGCACAATTAATCTCAAGCTCTATGTGCAAGGAAAGGGCAGATCCTACACGAAACAGTCATATGAAGCCTGAGGCAGTACTACCACACATATACTTATGCATTTATCTCTTTCATGGTGTAGATTTCAAATGATTTAGGAGTTGTTTTGGCCTTCAGCCATCAATATGGAGCACTTTCTAAAATTGGCATCCATTCAAGATATTAATTCAAGAGCTTTACCTCTGTGGAAAACTTTTTTTCTGCTTCTGGTTAACCCTTTTTATGTTCTTAACTATTTCTAAATATTCACTAGTAGAATAATAATTTTGGAAAGAGCAACTGAGTCCCTAACTCCCCTCAGTGGAAAAGTGTTCATTAAAATGTGCCCATCAGATGACTATCCGGTCTCTGCTGGCACACATCCAGTGAAGGAAAGCTCCTTGTCTCTTTGAATGGTTGGTCTTGCAGTTGAACTGCTTTGACTGTTTGGAAGTTTTATGCATATACATACAGGTAGTCCTCGACTTATGACCACATTTGAGCCCAGAATTTATGTTGCTAAGTGAGAAATTTGTTAAGTTTTGAACCCTTTTACGACTTTCTTGCCACGTTTGTAAAGTGAATCACTGCAGTTGTTAAATTAGTAACATGGTTGTTAAGTGAATCTGGCTTCCCGACTGACTTGCTTGTCAGAAGGTCACAACGTGGATCACATGACCCCGGGACACTGCAACCATCATTAGAAATCAGCTGCCAAACATCGGAATTTTGATCATGTGACCATGGGGATGCTGCAACGGTCATAAGTGATTCACTTAACAACTGCTGTGATTTGCCTAACAACCATGGTAAAAAAAGGTAAAATCGGGCATGACTCACTTAACAACCACATCACTCAACAACAGAACTTCTGGCCCCAATTGTTAGTC